GGGGTGGGAGGTGGGAGGCCGGCGGGCGCAGGGAGGGCTGCTGGCACGTAAGGGAGGGAGGCCTTACCTCCCTTGGGCTGGGCCAGCTGGTGGCCCAGCCGGTGGTCGGCCTGCTCCGTCTCTGCCGCTTGCCAGCTATGCCTCAGCCGGCGCAAGGGGCGGCACCACGCATGCGCAGCGCTCCCGGGCAGGGAAAGTCCTCAACCCATGACTGGTTGGGTAGTCCTCAACTTACGACCGGTTGGGTAGTCCTCGATTTACGACCGGTTGGGGTTGCGGCATTAAAAAGGTTGAGAAACACTGCTCTAACTCATCCCAGGATACGCGCTTTCATCAAGGGGGCTTGCAACACTAGACCTCCTGTGGTACACAAGTACCCTTCTTGGGAGCTGCCTCATGTTCTTCGCGCACTAACAAAACCGCCCTTTGACCCATAGCTACTATACCATCATGGGCCTTATCTCTTAAAGTTGCATTCTTGATCTCCATCATGTCAGCCAGGCGTATCTCAGAACCGGCTGCTCTCTCGGTCAGGAATGATCTTTGCATCTTCCACCGAGACCGGGTGGTCCTTCGGTTGGATCCCGCCTTCGTGCCCAAGGTCAACTCACTCTTCCATAGGATACAGGAAGTCATCTTGCCTAACTTTTGTCCTGATCCTTCCCATGACTTGGAGCGGCAGTAGCACACGTTGGACATCCACAGGGCCCTGCGGCGTTACATTAAACGCACAGAACCCTTTCGCAGATCTGAGGCCCTCTTTGTTTCCTTCCGTCTGGTTCCCTGGGACAGAAGGTATCTGCTGGCACTATCGGCAGGTGGATCAGGTCCTGTATCGCAGAGGCATACCAATCTTCCTCCCTACCGACTCCAAGTCATATCACGGCCCATTCCACTTGCAGCGCTGCGACATCTGCGGCATGGGCCACTCAGGCATCCATTGAAGAGATTTGCAGGGCTGCGACATAGTCGTCGCCCTCCCCTTTTATACGTCATTATAGGCTTGACCGCTTTGCTTCAACGGACGCCTCCTTTGGTCGGAGGGTCCTCCAGCAAGTGGTTTCTGGGGATGTAAATTCGGCCTTATCTGTTTCCCACCCATCGGGACAATGAGGCTTTGGTATGTCCCATTGGTGGATTCTCCATCTCCTGTACTGGAGAAGGGGCGTTGTCTTACCTGAACGCTTTTTCTCAGTATGGAGATGGAGAATCCACACCCACCCTAAGGTCAGTTAGGCCGTTATTAGAGAATTGAGAGCCAACACCTTGTCCTTGCATCAGCCACTTTTGCCCTCGTCAAGACTGGATCTCCTAGCAAGAGGGGGCGTGTCAAGTTTGGCTACTTGGTCTCAAGAGCAGGCAGACAGAGAAGACCCATTGGTGGATTCTCCTTCTCCGTACTGAGAAAAGGCGTCCAGGTAAGACAATGCCCCATTTCTTTAGATGCACACTGTATCTCCAGCATTTAATTTTTTTCATTCTCCAAATATTGTGCATTCTGGGTGGTCTGTTAGTCAATTTTTCTTTGCCCGAATTGCTCAGTGTCCTGTATGTATTCATAAAACCATTCAAGGCAACAGTGATTGACATATCCCCTGGAGGAAATATGTTGCTTTGAGATTTCTTTGTTTTCCTCTTTTTATGTAGTATTTGGACATTCTGTAAACGTATTTGGATGTTTGACCTGTCAAGGCAGAGGGTGAATTTATAACTTTCTAAATTTATAACTCAGATGTGACTTTTCTTCATTTTCTTTTATCGTTACTGAAGAAAAGAACAGAAACATCCAATCCACTTTGCTGAAAAATCTAAAACAAGCATTTAATAAATGACTGGTCTCAAATTCTGATAGTGGATCAATTGTGTCTGTGAGAGTAATTCTTGCTGGATTATTTGTAGCACATTCAAATTGATTTTGAATGTGACTAAATAGGCCTAAAGTCAGTATAATTCATGTGGGGCTTGGTTTGTTCAAATCAATTATATGTGCTAGAAACTGCAGTGACACACATTTAGATTCCTAGTTGTAAGAGCAATGCTGAAAGCCAAACTAGGATTATCTGACAAATTGCTTTGTGCAACACGGTTTTAAAAACTGAAAATTGATGTAGGTGGCTACAAGTTTATTTGGGAAAATCTCTGTTCCTCCTTATGACACTGAAAATCAATCTTAGAAAATAAAAAAAATGGAAACAAAAAAAGTTTCTTTGATAAATGATAAAAACTAGTGCATATTTTTGTGTGAATTATTATTAAAAAAGGAGTTTTTAAGGTGAGTAAATATTAAAATAATATCTCCTCTGTGCAGCTTGAAGGGATGACATCTCTTTTGTCATTTCATTCTTCTCGTTGTCTGGGCAAACCTTGTCATATTATACAAAAGGCCCATGAGAGTCAACCTACCCGTTATACTTCCTGCATAGCAGAATCTTAAGGATCTGTTGAATTGCAATTCCCATTGGTCTCAACCACCATGACCACCAATGTGCATTCTAGTTATAATCTTCTGCCTCAAAGCACAACTACCAACTTTAGGAAAAATATTTACCTCAGTGGGACTATTTTCCTATAAATCCACATGAGTTTATTGACTTGAGCCAAAATGCAAATGGCAAGTGAGCCTGTCCCTTGTTATGTTAAAAAATCTGCTTTCTAACTCTGTAAATTCTCAGAATGTGATTTCACATTCTGTAGTAAGTATAACATGTAGTTTGGTCCAGTAACCTGGAATTAAAAAGAAAAATGGCAAACGTTTCATATTGGCAAAGAACTATAATTAAATTTCTGTCTCTGTGTTTCAATTTCATTTACTGAAGTACTTGATAGCAGACACTGTCATAGATATAAAAAAAATGTAGAGTATACTTTTATTGGCATCTGAGAAATAGACAATAACCCAATGAAGTGAACTCAACTTTACTTTGGGTCAATTGTGGAATCAACACAGAAATTTAGAAGCCATCTTCTTTTGATACTTGCCTGGAAAAGCTCTTGGAGATTTCAGGATCTATTCTTATTTGATGTGGCTTCTGAGTTGACTGATTCTCATGTTCCTTCTGCTTTGTTGAATTTCCTTGACTTTTTTCCACTCTTTTTCCTGTGATATCAGTTGATTTCTTGTTAGCTAGCTTCTTTTTCTCCACAGAGTCTAAGACTACCTGCCCTTCAGGTATGAGGAAGCTCTACTATTGCCTCTATTCTTCTTCCAAAAGATGTTCTCTTTTTTGGTCAGAAGCTCTGAATAACTAATCTTCAGAAAGAATCCTCAAAATTATTTGTATGAAGTGATAACTCTTTAATCCAGTGACACACTGAATAGCTTACAAATTGTCACCATTTGTGGCCCATGCTCTGAAATCTCCATTTATTTATGGTAGATATCTGACTTTGTCGTGCACGTAGGTATGTCTGTGTCTGAATGTCTGTGTGTAAGAGAGAGGAATTTTGGAAGTTGTCATGAAAAATTCTGGAATAGAAAAAAGATTTACTGTATTTAACTGGTAAATGTAGATAAGACATGCTGCAAGGAATACATTTTCTACTTTTGAAAAATTCATCTCACTTTCTCAGTGGAAAAAAAAAATGCTTGCCAGTTAACCACTGGATTTTTTGTTCTCATTTGCAAGTAATAGCTGATCTTTCTACCAATTAGAAGAATAAATCATGAACTGTAGGGATTTTTTAAATTAGGTTTATATGCTTTTGGTATCTTTTGAGATTTGCTCCTTTTGTAGTTTTTAAATTGTAAGCCGCTCAAAGCCACACTTTTGAGATGGGTAGCTATATAAATCTCAATTAGCAAGGCAGGCCCAGTTCACAACCAATCAGGAAGGGGGAAAAGGAGAAAATTCTTAGTGCTTTGAGAAGCAGATTGTTCTGTGTCAGAAAGAGGCAGGTTTTGGTGTCAGTGAATGTCAGGCCCATTTCTAGAACTTCAGATTCCATGACTAAAAGGTTCTTCGGCACAGGCGGATAGTACATGTTTGCAACTCCTTACAGGAATTGTGATTTTTCCTGGGATGACACAGCCTCCTCCTACAGCTGCATTGCAATCCTGGGAAAACAAAGTTTCAAACAGCTGCTACTTGGACTGTCTCATGCTCCAAAGCACCTTAGTATCAAAGTGTTCAGTAAACAGTTTTAGTTGTTTTTCCAAGTGGGTGTTACTTCTGCTACTAAATTTCTCCTCTATACCCGTTCTGATGCTATGAGCCCTACTTATTTGATCTTTTCCTCCTTAGAGGGAACCGTGCTTTTACTTTCTTAGCTTAGTTATTGCACTTGTTTTGTACAAGAGCCAATGTGATATAGTGCGGTTCAGTTGGCAGCCTATGACCAGAGAGACACAGGAAGCTCATAGATAAACTTGTTCTAGCTCAGCCTATAGCCGTCCTTGTTAAAGGCACAAGGACCAAACCCCTGTTGATAAAATAGGCTGGAGACTTAAAACAAAACAAACCCCTTTTAATATGGGTGACAAACCTGCCAAATAGTCCAGAAACAAAAGCAGCAAAACTCAATCCAAATGAAGGAAATAGTCCACATGAAACACGATGCAAACAGAAGAGTAGTCACAGGCAAGACGAACAGAACAGGATCCCAAGAAGTACTTTGCAAACGGTTGCCTTCAGCAACCAGCACCGCCCACACCTCCTCTTTTTATACAGCAGTCCCAAGGCATTGCCTCTCATTGCCATCTCCTTTTTTCCTGGAGTTGTCGTATTGACTGCTGCTGATTTACTCTCGCTAATTGCCAGCGTGTATGAGCATCAATTATCATGTCCATCAGGTTTGAGTCCTCCGAGTCTGACTCATTCTCCACACAGCTGAGCTTCATCAGGAACACGACTGGAGGGCCCAGGCTCTGCTTCAAACCGTGAGTCTTGTAATTCATCAAAGCCTCCCTCTGACCCTGATGGCCCTTCAAATGCCTCCTCCACCTCCTCCTCAGATTCCTCAGACTCAGCTGTTGGGAACACAGGCTGGCACGGAATCACGACACTACCTTCCTCACAGGGTTCTTGTGAAGATAAAATAAATAGATTCCCCCAGTTGAGTTCCTGTAAAAAAAACAGAAGCTGTTTGGTATGGTGATTAAGGCATCAGGATAGAAACTGGGAGACTGTGAGTTCTAGTCTCCCTTGAGCATGAAGTCAGCTGGATACTTTGGGCCAATCACTCTTTCTCAGCCCTGGGAATGAAACAATGGCATACCACTTCCAAGAAACCTTGCTAAGAAAACTTCAGGGACCGCCCTAACTCGTCCATGAAGTCACCAGGAGTCAAAAACTGACTCAAAGATACCAAAAAAGAGAGAGAGAAAAGAATACATACTTACATCTCATACAGTTTATCTTTCTTCTATGATGGCATACTCTTCTATAATGGACACCCTTAGAGTAGGATCTGATTTCTAAAATTTAAGCCCTTGGAAACGGTGAGTATCTTGGGCATCTGTCTGTCAGCGGATCAATAGGCTGTATCTCCGTCTTTCCACAGACAGGCTGCACGTTACTATGCTTCCAGATCCATTCATTAGGAATGGGGTGTGTGTGTGAAATTCATTTTATTCATTAGGGTTGCATTCAGATGCAAATGAAAGGCATTTTGTCCCCTTATTCCTAACGGTTTCGCATTTTTTGTGAAATTTGCTTACCATTTGAAATTCATGGTTCTCTGAATTTTCAGAATGCAGTTCAGTAATAATGATTAGTGACTGTCTAAGGTGGTGATGGAGTTGGAGGAAGGGAGAAATTAACAAAATGCATGGCTTCATGAGAATAACCATAAAAATGCATGGCAAAAATAGGTTTGTGTGCTGAGGCAAAACTGGAAACAAATCTGTCCATATTTGGAAACATTTGCATCCAATTTGCATGCAGACATGCAAATGAGCACTTGAACTTTGTGAGGGAAAAATGCTGCAGTTCAGCCCAGTCAAACTGATGTCTTTGGAAGAATGTGAAAGTCAGAAAACCTGAAATTGTCCCACACGTTTATTGCTTCCATTCACAGGAATTGGATTTTATTCTCTTTCCTGGACAGAACAAGGAAATGCTTTTTGCTTCCTCCGGATTTATGTTGTGTATCTAGTTGTGTGTCTAGAACTGTGCAGAGATATGCATGGATGTACCTGTGCTTCTCAATGCTGCTCATTCTCATGTGTGCACCAGCAGATGTGGCCCTTCAGGTCTCATTTGGCACCTGTAGCAGCCCAAGTCCTTGACTTATGACCATTCGTTAAACAACCATTCAGAGTTAGCATTGAAGAAAATGACTTCTTGCACTTACAGCTGTTTCAGCCTCCCCACAGTCATGTGATCAACCTTAGGGTGCTTGGCAACCTTTGTGTATCTATGACTGTTGCAGCATCCTGGATTATCATGATCACCATTTATGATCTTCCCAGAAGGCTTCCAACAAACAAAAACAATCAGGAAAGCCAGACTAACTTAATAATCTTAATTCACTTCATGGCCATGGTGATTTGCTTAACCACCATGGCAAAAAGGTAGTAAAATAGGGCACAGCTCACATAACGACTGCTCTGCTTAGCAACGAACGTTCTGGTCCCAGTTGTGATCATAAGTGGAGGATTACCAGTATCTCCCCAGTGTTGGATTTAAATTTGGCTTGTTCTTTGGGATGAGCAGGCTCGTGATCAAAACATTTTTAAGGAATACCTAGAGCTAAACACGATGTGTGGCATCTCCTTGGGATATGAAGGTGTGCCCTTTATTTATATCATCGTAGAGTGGAGGCGCACCATCTGTTATTTCCATGCAGCAGGGGAGCTTGGAGTTTGCCACAGCCTATTTTGTCTCGTTATGATGTATGCTCATGCCAGAGTTACCATGGGAGCAAGGTGGTGGGGGGGAGGAAAGCTCTGCTCTTAATTGTTAAACATCGCTGCCTCTTTCTGCGCACACTTGCTGACATCTGTGAATTGGATTTCACAGATTTTATGTCGCCCCTCCCCTCCCTTTCCCTCCTCTGTTTATAATTCAAGTGTTCTGCAGTCGTTTTCTGTGCTTTGGTGAGCAGAGGAGGCCATGCTCTGTTCTTAAGGACAAAATTCTGTGAGTTTTATTTTTATTTTATTTATTTTATTTTATTATTTTATTTTATTTTATTTTATTAATGTATATAAGTGCCCAATTCACCCACAGTGACTCCGGGTGGCATATAACATTAAACAACATTGGGTTTCATGACTTAAGAATCTCTTAAGCTTTTTTCTTTCTTTCTCTTCTCCTGGGAATCCTGGCTTAATCATATGTAAGTTGAAGGTGAAAACGGTGAGTCCAATAAAATGGGTTATTTTGCACTCAGCTTCGTTCTAGATAGAGAGATTCAAATGCCAAGTTACTAGCTCTCGGTGAGCAAGGGGTTCGTTCATCTTCTTTTTTCCTCTCCTCTTTTAGAAATGTCTGGAGCATTTTGTTTTCTTTCTCCCATAAGAAAAAATGAGGGACAATTAAATTGTGAGATTAAAAATGCTGGAGATGAATTTGGATTCTACCCAATTTTTTTTTTTTGAATTTTAAAAACATGCTGTGAAACTCAACAGGCAGGTTAATTTATCACAAAATAGTTTTCACTTGAGATATGAAACACCCATTTTGTTCCCTGCCACCCTGTCTACCCATCGCTCTGTTTCTCTTTGTCTGGGGGAGGGGGGCAGATAGCTTGAAATTATGCACTGAATTGCAGCTGTCCATCATTGTTCCAAGAAAGATTGGGAACCTCTCTGAGCTTAGAGCCATTACTTTTCAACTTCAGAGAATCATTTCCTTTTTTCCCCCAAATTAAAAGGATCCAAAAATCAAATGGGGCAGGAAACCTCACAGATTAGTCTAGAAAGCAGGAGGCTGTGAGTTCTAATTCCTCCTTAGGCCTGAAAGCCAGCTGGGTGACTTTGGACTGTCACTCTCCCTCAGCCCAACTCATCTCACACGACACGACAGGAGGAGGAAAGTATGCTGGATACGTTCGCCTCTTTGAGTTATTTGTAAACATAATTAAGATGGGATGCAAATAAATAAATAAATAAAATCAGCGATGCCCTACTTACCACTCCAGGACCAGTTGTAGGGTAATGGCAACACAGTTGACTAGAAGTGGGAGGCAGGGTATTCTAGTTTATCCTCAAGATGGGTGTTCTTTGGGGAATGATTCTGGGACAGCCATTCTCTCTTAGATCAACTTCCCAAAATGGATGTGATGGGTATTATAATAGGAGGATCGTGGTGAATCACCTTCTTTTGCTTCTAAATGAAAGGTGAGACAGGAAGGCAATAAGTAGACAAGACAATGAGCCCGTTTGCGGAAGCTCTCTGATCCCCACAGTATTTTCTCTTACGTGTGAATCTGTGTGAACATAGGTTACGGTAAGTTCACAGTAACTTTGCAATAAGCCCAGAATCTAGGCATGTTAAAATCACATTGTGAATGAGCATATTCTTGTGCTGTTCCCTCTTGCTCTGCTTTCCCTTGTGAGGCAAAGGTTTGCATTATGACCAACCACGGTTATGATTCATGGTGCTCCAATAAGCAAAGAACAAACTTTTGTTTCAGTATTGCTTAAGTCCATGGGTTATTAAAGATCAGTCCTTGGTTTGAACATAATGCCAGAAGCCTATTGAATTGATCCTTGTGCAAACAACAAGGCTGCACGTAGATTCCCATTCTCTCTTCACCAGTATGTTTGTCTTAAGTAACACACAGATGCCACGTCATTCTCTATCTTCTCTACCTTCATAAATCATCTCTGCCTTACTGGGAAGGTTTTGTAGGGAATCCCTTTTAATCATGACTCAGTTCTGAGGACAATTGTCACCCACTTCTCTGCAGGAGCATTGGTTATCTGTTACCATGTTATAACCTCTAAGTCACAACCACCTTGCAGTGTAGATTTGTCATAGAGTGTGAGGTTCCCCACCTTCATACTCTAACCTAGAGGTCCCCAACCTATGGGCCGCGGCCCACTACCGGGCCGTGGCCTCTTGGCCAACAGGCCGCGTGAGTGGCTGGCCAGTGCATGCACGCATATGTGTGCAGTCACCCCTTGCACCGGCGCTAGCCGAACTGGGAATCTTGTGCCGGTGCTAGCTGAGCTGCAAGCCTTACGCTGGTGCTAGGAGAGCCACGAGCTGCGAGCTTCTCGCCAGTGCTAGGAGAGCTGCGAGCCTCTCACCAGTGCTAGGCGAGCTGCGTGCCAGCACTAGCAGCCCCATTTGCGGAGCACGCGTGCTCTTGGCCCTGTTTGTGCGCACATACATGCACCCATATTTGCATGTGTACGCATGCACACACAAGGTGCCTGTCCCTCCCTTTCCCATCGGGCCTCCAACCCAGAAAGGTTGGCAACCCCTGCTCTAACCCAGGGTTTCTCAACCTTGGCAACTTCGTAAGATATGAGGACTTCAGCTACCAGAGTTCTCCAGCCAGCATACTGGAATTGAAAGGTAGTTCAAAATCATAATGGTCGTAAGTCATGGTGGTTGTTAAATGAGGCTCTCTTGTTATTGCCTCACTTAGTGACCATAATCTGTTCTACCGCCTTTATGTCTCGGGGTGGAGGAGGATACTCTGGGAGGCCTAGTGAAGGCCCAGACCTACACAGCAGCGCCTCTCCAGTTTATATGTGGCTTGTCCTGGGCCTCCCCATGCCCTGAGCCTTCAGGAAGGAGAATTGGGCAATTTGCCCCAAACCCTTCCTCTACCTTATGGATTCTGCATGGTGCCATGCTGAAAACAGGCACCATTCTTTTTGCAGCCTGCAGTTCTCAGATTGCAGGAAAACCACATGGCAGCTCTATAGAAAAGGGATGTGGACTGAGCTACGATGGGGATAGGAGGATATCGGACCCAGTGGGGTGAGAAGCAGAACCAAGGCCTTCCACAACCCAACAGGGTGGGAATAGGGGCGGAAGATAAGGCCAAGCAGATTGCCGAGTGCCTAAATTACATTCATGTGACCATGGGGTTGCTGCAGCGGCCATAACTTTGGGTACAGGCAGGTCTTAAGTCCCTTCGTTCAGCGCTGGTGTAATTTCAAACAGTTACTGAACGAACAGTCATAAGTCGAGGACCACCTATATCTGAAAGCCGCCGTGGTTGGAAAATCACTGCTCTAACCATTAGCTCTAGGTAACGCTGGAAACCCTTTCAACCCTGGAAACCTTTCCTCCTGCCTCCTGTCCCTTCTCGTGTTTCCTGTCTGATGGGGAAGGCCCATTTGTTCCAGCCCTGTGGCCGGAGGGTTTTAAGAAGCGCTCGCGGAGGGCGTCCAGTTGGGGAAGTCTGGCTGTAAAATTACTACCTTGTCTGGTGGAGGCAGCAAAAGGTGGGGCCTGGTAGGTGCTTGGTTAAAGCTTCCTTCACGCAGACAGGCATTGCTGTCTTCCCTCTGAGTCATCCTCATTATAGCTTGCAGCTCCTTGAATTCCAGCTCGGCAGCGCGAGGGAGTCTTGGATGATTTCTAAGAGAGTGGTGGAGGTGTGCCTTCTGTCCTTTTAGTGTCTAAAAAAGAACATACATAAGGAAGTTGTTTGGAAGGATCTCCTTCCCAGCTGGAAGAGGAAGGCGGCTGCATGGCTCCTGGATCCAGGGTAGCTCTGGGTGGAAGGAGGAAGGTAAGCAGAAAAGAAACCTTTGCGATTCCTTCTCTCCACAGGGAGAATTTGCACTGTATTAATTGACTGCTTCCACCTTGTGCTGCAGGCCTGCTGCTGAAGCTCCTCCACAGAAGCAAATGTGTTGTTGTTTACTCCCTCATCAGCACTGTGGTATTTGTCTTTTTAGGAGTGTACTCAAAGCAGAGAATATCTAATTAACGTAGGCCACAAGAGAGGTTTAGAGAGCAGAAAATGGACATGTGGAACTAACTGCTGGGGATTGAAGGTGTTGCAAAGGTTTAAAGAGAGAAGTTAAAGGGGTTCCTCTAACAGATCAGTCTGTCTGTTCTTCCCTTTCTGATTCCTGTATTATTTATTATTCGTTCTTCCTGTTAAGAATCTCCAAAGAATTGGTTGCACAGTTCTAGGAAGCCCTGGCAATACTGCACACACCGCTTGTGGTTTTCAACATCTGTCCATTCTGGTAGGGTTGCCCTAATTTTATCTTTGAATATGTTTAGAAAGCAGCCAGTTTTGCTATCTGTAGGCTTCATCTTCCTTTAACATCATCTGGTGATCTGTCTAAATTATCAATCCGATGTGCATATTGTACAAGTAAAATAAGTGAGTCAGTTTAAAAGTTATATAATGAAAAACTTGTTTCTTTGCTTGGCACTTCCTGCTAGACAAAATGTTACAGGAAGGCAACGCCAGTTGGTCTTCTGAAAAGAATAATGATAATTCTCTCTGCTTTTGTTTGTATGCCTCTTCATTCCTTATAGCTAGTTCATTCTGTGTTGCTCTCTCCCATTATAAACAGTAAAATACATTTTTCAAAGCTTTTTTTTTAAACAAAAAAACAAAAGCAAAACTCATTTAAAAATAACTTTGTGTTCCCTTGTGGCCCTGTAATCTCTTGCAGAAATGCTATGCAAAATGAGATTCCAAAGAGAGCGACCCCTTTATATTGGTTACAGGATTTGGAAAATACTTCATTCTTTGCCCTTTTTAATTGATAATCTTGGATTTACCTTTCCTCTTTGTCTATGTTCTGCTTCAACTCGCCAGGCATTATGGTCAAGCTTCTGGCTGCTGGTTTTTGGCCAAATATTATATGTAGGTTAGATTTGATCCTTGAGTTCAGCCAGTCTTTTTGCTTACGCTATGAGTTCAGGAAATTGTAATCTGCAGGTCAAAGTGAATGCTTAAAGGGAACAAGTTTCTGCACAAGGTACTTGGATAAACAACTGGCACTATTTTTATGCTGATAGATATCTGCACTCTTGAACATTTCAACACCCATGTTTCTATTCTGGGAGAAACCACACCCAGGAAGAAAAAAAAGACCAAATGTTTTAGTTCTTTCTATTCAAAATGCTGATTGGCCAGCACCTCTGTTAAGAAGACCATGCAGATTTATTGAAAGACAAAATGTGAATTCAGCATCACTCAAGTTATATTTCTAAAAACTAGTAAGCAGAATGTCCAATATGAATGAGGGATCGAAACATTTAGAAATCAGGATTCAAAATATGTTTTTTTTTTTGTTAATGAATTCACTGCCATTGCCTATTGGAGTGTCAGATTTTCCATCTTTTAAACCAGGGGTCTCCAACCTTGGCAACTTTAAGCCTTGTGGACTTCAGCTCTCAGAATTTCTTAGCCATTGCAAAGGGAATTCTGGGAGTTGAAGTCCACAAGTCTTAAAGTTGCCAGAGGTTGGAGACCTCTGTTTTAAATTATTTAAACGCAGGACTCCATAAGCCCTTTCAGTCAGACCAATCTTGAAAAGTATATAATTATACAAATCCATAATTTGGGTTATAAATAAACAAAGAAAAATATACCAGCAGCAGATCAGAAATAATAATAAGAAAGAAATTGAAAGATTATGGCATAAACTAGCTGTGATGATCCCAGTGGTTATTGATACACTGGGTGCCCTATCAAAAAAAATTTGGATGGCACTTAGAAAATCTGGGCATTGGCAAAATTTTGAACTGTCAATTGCAAAAGGCTACAGATCTTGCTTGGATCTACACTTAAACTATGCAAATACATTATGACATCCTAAGTTCTTGGGAAGAACTTGATGCATATGAAAGCCAACACGAGACAAAGAACGAGCAGCTATAACTTCACATGTTTGTATATATAATAAAATCTGAGCATACTGTTGATATTATTGTTATTAAAATTTATTATGGCCACCCATTCCAAAACTATCATTAAAACTGAAAAGTTCAATAGAATTGGACTAACAAACATAAATTAGCAGTAGCATTTAGACTTATATACCGCTCCATAGTGCTTTACAGTATTCTCTAAGTCAGTGGTTCTCAACCTTTTTAATGCCGCGATCCCCCAACCAGTCGTAAGTCAAGGACTACTCAACCGGTCGTAAGTCGAGGACTACTCAACTGGTGCAGCACCGTTTGCAGAATGGGACTTTTGGCGGGCTCAGCAGGGCAGAGACAGCCTGGACAATTCCTATTGGCTTTTGAAAGCCAATAGAATTAGACTCTATTCAAGAGAGTCTATTCTATTGGCTTTCAAAAGCCAATAGAATAAAAGGGAGTAGCACAGCTAAGGAAAAGGGGAAAAAATGGCGGACTGCATTGTTTGGCGACCCCCGTGAAATGGTCGTTCGACCCCAAATGGGGTCCCGACTCACAGGTTGAGAACCACTGCTCTAAGTAGTTTACAAATGTGAGAATATTGCCCCCATTTTACTGACCTCAGAAGATGGAAGGCTGAGTCAAACTTGAGCCAGTCAGGATCAAACTCCACAGTTCATCATGCATAAACCCGGAATCTGAACATTTTAAACAAAAAAAAATCACATCATTCTGCAAAAGAATACTCATAACAACCCATTCTCAAGACTTGAGAGGACTACCAAGTCTTTACAGACTTTCTGGAAGTTGGGAGAGAGGGGACTATTTGAACATCTGGAGAGACATTACAGCTAGTCCTCGACTTACAATCATTCATTTATTAACCGTTCAAAGTTACAGCAGCACTGAAAAAGTGACTTACGGCTATTTTTCACACTTACGACTATTGCAGCATCCCCACGGTCATGTGGTAAAAATTCGGACGCTTGCCAACTGACACATATTTATGATGCTTACAGTGCCCCAGGATCATGCGATCACCTTTTGCGACCTTCTGACAAGCAAAGTCAATGAGAAAGGCAGATTCAGTTAACAACTTTGTTACTAACTTAGCAACTGGAGTGATTTACGTAACAACTGTGGCTAGAAATGTTGTAAAAAGGGGCAAAATTCACTTGACCACTGTTCTTGCCTAGCAACAAAAATGTTGGGCTCAACTGTGTTTGTAAGTGGAAGACTACCTGAATTCCAGAGAGAGGGGAAATTACTAGAAAGGCATGCTTCTGTGAATAACTCTTTAATTGAGGGAACATAGAGAACGTGTGCTGCATTAGGTCTTATATTGCTGGGAGATGTTGATCCTAAGATACCCAAGCCCTTAACCATGAAAAGATGACAACTAGCAGCTTGGATTGCCTCCACAAAGAAAGTTGGAGGTCAACCATAGGACATTCTCTCTTTCTTCCTGAGTCCATTTCCTTGCTTATCAGAATCATTCAGGGGCATCAAACCACCAGTCTGCAGTTTGAACAGTTTTTTTCCTATCAGGATAAAACAGGTACCAAGATCACTACAGATAATAGCTGTGACAAAGAAGGAAATAGGATGAAGGAAGTCGGCCCTCAGCTATCTTACTCCTGACCATGCAAACTTTTTTTTTTTTTTTTTTTTTTAAGATGGGGCAGTATTCCCCTGCTGCTGTGGCTTTTGGATTTGCATATCTCAGGAAAGTATTTCTAGCAAGGGAACAGAGGGAAAGTTTTGTAGATTTACACGCTGAGTAGCTTTAAATTGTTGGGCTGTTGTCAGTTTTGCAAGGTAGTTGAGACAAGAAGCACGCCCAGATGAACTAATCCTACTTCAGTGTAAGAATATGTTAACAGAATTTTGCAAGACTGAAAGTATTCCTCCCTTCCTCTTTTTTTAGTCTCTGGAAAACTAGGGAGAGTCCCTTCTGAAATGTTTCTCATGCTTTTCTGTGATGAAATTTTGTCTGGATTCCCAGAAGGCAGGGAGTGTATCCCATCAAATTTTCCCTCTGAGTTGCGGCTTATCAGAAAGTTGCCTATGCTACCTTCTTTCTCCTCTCTCCCAAGATCATTTCTGCGTACCATTACAACTGTAGATAAAGGAAACTATAGATTGGGATCTGTACAGACAGGACCTGTACCAACAGGATAATCTAAGGCAGACATGTCAAACACAAGGCCTGGGGGCTGAATGTGGTCCGCGAAGTGGTTTCATGTGGCCCGTGAAGCCATCCTGGAAACAGTGAGGGAACGGCCCCTGCTGCCTTGGCCCTGGCCCAGGCCGGCCGGGAACCAATGTACAATTTTGTGGTGGCCATCTATGCTGAAACACATTCAGTCTTAGCTTCACAAGGCTGTCTAGAAACAGTGAGGAACTAGCCCCTGCCGTGTCGGCCCCGCCCCCTGGGTGCATGCTGAGGAGATGTCACCCTTTGTGAGGAATGAAGAAATGGACCATGCCTTGGCGCTTGCCCAGACCCCACCCACTCCTGCCCAGGCCCCCACAGGCACCCTTGACACAAACGATGTAGAGCTGGCCATGCCCACCCAATAGGTCACACCCACTCCATCTACGGCCACCCAGTAGGCCGCACCCACCCTGGCCACACCCACCTGCCCCCCCCCCGAGGGCAGCCGCAATGCTGATGTGGCCCTCAATGAAATTGATTTTGACAC